CCTTCCAACTCAAACCATTCTCTAATTCTCTGATACATTAACTAAAATATTACAAAAAGGTAAGGAAGTTCTTTAAGTGAAAAAAACACTTAGATTGTTGCACACTGTAATTGTTCAATGTGGAAATTTAGTAGTTTATAAAATGTTAAAATCATACAAGTACATTAATGCTGAAATAGTAATTCTACCTACCAAGGTAGGGTAAAATACCTGCACACAGAGAAATGCAATAATGTTCAAATACAGAATATCATCTCCCACAGCCTTAGTTCTTACATTGTCAGTTAGCAAAAATTTCTTTAAGTCAGGCATTTTCTGTGAGTTAATGGCAAGCTGGGTTAAAATCCCTTGGATTCATTTCAGGTTCTCAACTCTGGCTAGTCATTAATCAGTCCAAAATGTCCTTTCCATCAGGCACTGTTTAAGCTAATTCACTTGCCACAAACAATACACCAGTCTTTACTGTACAAGCATAGTAAAAGAAAGAAAACTAAAAGGAAACAGATCTGCTATAAGATACTTGCATGCTAATTCTATTACCCAGGCTAATAATTCAGTGAGAGGTGGCGGGCATTGAGTATACCATGCATTTTAATTACTGCAAACAGAACAGAAATTAGGTTGCAAGATACTTGTTTCCAGAAATAATCAAGATTAAGTTAAGGTTGATGAAACTGCCTAAGAAGAAATCAAACAGTAAGAAAGCAGTAAAGGAATCACTATAATAGATGAAACCACAAGAGCTAAACTATGAAGGCAAAGACTTCAATAAGAAAATAAACTTTAAATGATCCCTAAAGAAACAGATGTTCTTCTTTGTAGGTAGCATTTGTAAAGCCATCTAAATATCAAATACACTCTAACTACTTACTTGGTTATTCTGCACGTAGTCCAAGATACGGCATTTATCAAGATAAGAAGGGGGTGGATAGCTTTGCTTTTGAACAACAATCTTAGGAACATGAAAGACAAATTTAACGAATTGTTTAAACTTAAAACATGCAGTACCCCTGTATAAGTTTTCTACTCAGCAGCACACTAGAAAGATGAACCGCTTATTCAGTTAAGTATTTTAAAGTATAACAGGAATAGGTCCTACAAGTTTCTCTTTGTTTGATCTTTCGGGGCAGGGGGGAATCAGTTGACTTACTGAAGAAGTTTGTACAATTCTGGAAGTTTAAATGGAGATGTACAGTTGTAGAGAAAATGTCAGACAAGAAGAGACTTAAGATGAATGAACCAGTCTTAGTCAGATTCCCTAGTCTTAGGCTCTCCAACAGAGTCCAACAAAGTGACTCAATAACAATTTACAAATTTAAAGATTTGAAAACAGAGGAAAGAAGGAAGGAATAAAAACAAAACCAAAAAATACCTGTGGTTTTCTTCATTATGCTGTAGAATACTCCACCCTGCTGAAACAATTGAGGGAGCCCCTTTGCGTAAGACCAAACGTCTTCTCCTGTAAAAATCAAACACAATTATTAGAATTAAACAGTCATATTTTAACCTTATAGACAATGGCTGAAAATGCAACTCCTTGAATTAAAATCTGAATCCTCGTTTTCTTCTATGCAATTAAAAATTTGAATTTTTATTGCAAATTTACAGAACAGGAGCCCAGGACATTGAGAAACTTTCAGTAAAACATACTACCATCTGCAGTCAAATATCCTACATGTTCTAGTACAAAGGTTCCCAAATTTGATTTGATCCAAGCTGCAGCTCCCGGTTCTTTGCCAGGCCCTACACACAAGTCTCCATTCCCCTCCTACCCATGCTGTCAACATAAAACTAAGAAATGACTAACACACTTCCAAAATTCAGGCACATACCCTTGCACATTAAAACCTCAATTCTGTATCTCTAGGCTGTCTCAAAAATCAGATCTCAGCTTCACAGCTGCCATACTTTACACTGTAGCTGAGATACAATAGTCCCCGCAGGCAGCTGCATAGAAGCTGTGTCTGTACCTTGCTTTTCTTGAGAGTTAGAAACAAAATACCAACCGCAAGGCCTCAGCAGTCCTGTGGAACTGGCATTTCTCAAAGATGCCAAAAATGGCATTGAAACGTGACAACTTTAAATGCTGCTGAAAGGAAAAAGTAACAACCAACCTGGACTACATAAGGTAAGGAATATAAAGAACAGGAAAATTGAGTTACAATGACAGAATATCAGTGACCTAACAGTGCCGGCTAAATCAGTTCAGATCTGCATTTTTTACCTACACCCTTTTCCTCATTCTGCTAACCACTTACCTGCTTCAGAGAAGTGACATGTGATAGAGCTGTCAAAGTAGTGCAAACAAAAAGTACTGATAAATTTCATTCTCCTGGTGCAGAAACAACTACTGTGCGTATCAGAAAAAAACTTGCTTTTCCCACTTTGTATCAAACATTCAGGGAACATACTGAGATACTTTAAATAGAAATTGCACCCTCTTTAGGCATCAAAATCTCAATAACCATGTCTCTCAATTTTCTATTAAAACTGGAGAATGTAAACCATCAACTAAAGTTAACTGGATGCACTTACTACTTGGAACAGAGATGGCTGGAAAGTGTGAGGCTGTAATATATTACCCATCAATATTTCTTAGCTTGATGTTAAGAGCAAAATAAAAAAGTTATTTTTAACAGCTTCCACATACTGAATATAAGGCACATCTAAATCCTTCCTTGCATTTCTTTACTGCATATCCCATAAAGTAATTATGGCTACTCTCCTATCCTACCTGCCTCAGGTGAGAAAGTGTTTCACCCTCGTGACGGCAGCATTATGTGCTACACTTTGAAACCCTTCAAGCCACTCTCTTGGTTTCCCTTCCCCGACAGGCACAGGATCCAAACACTCCCCTGCATGCCTGTCCCCCCACCAGATGGATTCCACCGCTCACCTCTCCAAGTGTTATTCAAGTCCCCATTCCCTCTAAAAAGGTACAGTGCACCTTCATCACGTTTTGTCTTTACACATTTAAAGACAGGAGACCTACAAAACGTGACTAATTTCAAATGCATTCCCTTGAACCATATACGCTCCGGTTCACTGCATTCATTTGGACATCAAGCTCACAGATTTGGCCTTCACTTCCTAGCAAGAACATCCAGGTAACAAACCAACTACTCTTCTTTCTTATTTTCCATGATCTACTAAAGAAGGAGGTCTTGTCTTTTGATTTTATCCTGGTAACTCCTGTCTGCTGTCTTCCTAATAAATTTGAAGTTCCTCTCCAGCTTTCACTGACTCGGCTAAAAAAAAATAATAAATTAAAATTTAAAAGCAGCATTCTCTTTTCCACCCCACTATTGCCACAGCTTTCCTTCTTCTTCAAACAGCTGCACAGAGGGCAGACAATCACTACTGATAATTGTCTAATGGTTTTGCTATTTTAAAAGGTGTTCACTGCTACCTTGCATCCTTATTCTCATTTACATTTTGAAATGCACATCCCTATAGGCAATGGCTCAAGAGCATCACTGCTGTGGCTCTTCATTTTCCCTCAAGTCTTCCTGATGGTTTAAATACTGCCCACTGGAATCAAAATAGCCACTACACTGATAAGGAACAGAATACAGGCATCAGTCTACCGAAGCCTGGGGAAGCCACAGCCAGTGGCTGACTCCATACTAAGAACTCCTACACTGCTGCATCTAGCAGTCCATTCTTATTTGAAGGGCTCCCTCCCCTTCCCCAACACAACCAGCAGGCTTTTAGAAGCAGCCCAGTTTTACACATTAGTGGTATTCTCCAAGGAAAGATTCCCTATTTGCTACGGACATGATTTTTCAAGCCTTGCACAAGAGAAGCATCACTGTTTAGATAGCCTTTTATGCAACACTAACAAGGACTACACGCAGAAAAATATGGAGAGCAAGGCTCACAAAACAAAAGCATCAGCCACCGAAAGAAACACAAACTAGTGATGCTGTTTTGATAAAGAGATTTCCAACTGGAAGACCAAAAAAACCCACAATTACAACTGGACTTTCCCAGATCACAGGAACTAGTGCGTGTGTGATTTAACCAAGCTACATTTGAGGTTTGCACATTTTTGTTGCCAGTTGGGTTTTATTGTTTGTTTTGGTTTCGTTTACCATGGCAGTAAGATGTTTACAGGTCACAAATTAATTTGGGTGATCATTTCGTTAGATTGAAAACTCCCTCAATACACCACATTTATCAAAGAGATTGTGTTCTCCGCACTGTTCCCACTCCAGTACACGCTCCCTCAGACCAGACCTCAGCCCCACAACACTAAGATGCTGCAACAAATGAAGATTATTCTACACTCAAGCATGCCTCATACGCTGCAGAAAAAGAGCAGGTACAGACTAACCCACAAGAGTGGAAGCCCAAGACTGTCACCTGATACAGCAGAGAGGACACACAGAAGTGCAAAACAAATCAAAGGCTCGGTTCATAAACATAGGTTACAGGGAACTACAGCTGGCTTAAAAACAAGCTGTTTAATTCCAAACAAATCCTGGTATCAATGAATACATTTAATTTAAACCCAGCTATTTTGATTTCTTGTGCACTGATGAATTCATCAATGCAAAACAAACTGATCCAAATAGATTCATACTTGGCTTGCACATATCCAGAGTGCTTCTGTATGGGTGTGATGAAATCTGTTTAAAAATACGTTTTAACTATGTTAACACAAAATTACAACTCCTTTAGTCATTTCCCTATAGAATTCTGTATTCTGAGCTAAACAAACAAACAAAAATAAATAGAAGAAAGCTTTACAAAAAAACATGCATAATGTGTTAAGTGGTCCAGAAATGACAGTATCTAATTTCCCAGGGCTTATTTTTAAATTATATACAGAAAAAGTAAAGACCATGGTCTAAAATTTTAATGTTAACTAGCTGAAACCAGAAAAGAAAAATTCTACTAACTGAAATATGAAAGCAGCATCGAGTCAGCCTACAGGAGGCCCTGTATGAAAGAAAAGCTTTTAAGCATCCAGAATGAACAGTCATAGATGTTTGAAGACATACTTTCAATATGGGCATTGAGGGAAAAAAAGAAAATAGTGCCTGGCCCAGCAAGCTATTTCAACAGCATCGCCCCTCTACACATTCTAATCTGACTGTATTAGAGGAATGTTTTTAGCAGAACTAAGTTACAGCAAGGGCATGCAGGATAAGCTGACTCTCAGAACTTTGCAGCACTGTTTTTTAACGGTACAGAAATGTCACTGGGAAACACCACAGCTTCTCATTCCAAAAAGGCTGAATATACCACCTTGAGGAACTGCCACCTCAACACTCTTAAGAAAGTGCAAGGACTTAGATAGTCTCTTAGAGTTTGTCTCCCCACTGAAAAATCACAATTGTAAATAGTCAGCTGTCTAGATTTTTTCCACAAGTATCTTTAAAGGAAAATGAAGCCCTGATGAGAAAAGTGATTATATAAAAACAGTATCTTATTGACTAGCTGCATAAATTAGTTATAACTGGTTGGTTTATCATTTGCTGCTACTTTTACTTCTATTAGTAATGCAAAATGGATGCAGTCAGAGAAGGGTGAGGTAAATTCTATTCTAACCTGTGCTTCAAAAGCAGAACCCAACAGCAGTGAAAGTCAAAGACAAAAACTGATTTTTGAGTACAAGATCAGTTCACAGTTTATGGGTAAGTACCTGTGAAAAAATGACACACCTTAATGCTGAAGTGACTCAGATATTTTTAAAGCACGTCAGAGTTTTTTGTAAGCAAATAACTACACTTTCAGCAGTATTTCCTGAAAACAGGAAAGCACTCTTAAGCTTCATCTCAAAATCAAGACAGCTTTTAAACTTAACCTTTTCCTGCACTTTGGAACTACAGTGTAAATGTCAGTGTGAGGTGGCTAGTGATTCAGCAAGCTATCTTCTAAGAGATACAGGAGTAAACAATCACGCTTGGAAAAGAATCAAAGTTCTGCTTGATGAACTTCTGACACACCACTCTCTGATTACGTAATTGTTTCATTTCTAAAACATCACATGCTTCAGCCACACCAAATCCCTCCAGCAAGAGAGAAGGCTTCCACAAAAAAAACTGTAAACACTACTATTCAGCTGGTTCATAGAGCTAAATGTATGGTAATTACTGTTCTACTTCCTGCCTGATTAAGAAGGTACACAAATGAAGGTCCAAGTCTCTCAAGTCCAAATATGAAAATAAAAACCACAGGCACTTGAGAAAAGTCCTTTTGACTTGAATTATTCACAGTTAGTCATATTTACACGACTGACAATTTATATTAAGCATAGTTTTGCAACCCTATGTCCACCTTTGGGATTCAAAGTTGAATTTAGATCCTTTCAGTTTCCCCTCTGCTTACATTCTGAAATAATACTTTTCACAGCTCTTTAAAAAAAGACCAGATCTTCACTTAAAATTAGCAGATTAGCTAAGGATTCAATGTTGCATTGATTTGCTTAAACCAACAGAACTCCCTGTGGGGAGAAATGCCAGGACTTCATCCTACAACAAAGGTGAGAATTTGGTCCTCAAACTTCCAATAAGCAGACACTCAGCGTCCCCTTCTCACCTCTGCTCTCAATTTATTTCCTGAAACCTGAGGAAAAAAAGAGAGCATGTAGCTCACATGCATACACATCAGATGTGTGCCTAAGGAGAGACAGGCAGCAGAGGAAATGCAACAACTTCTAAACAGCAATTTTTAAAAGAGGACTTTATAGCAAAGAAAGAACAGGTATCTCGTGCAGACATGCTAGAAAGTCACAACACTCAACAAATCACTGACAGCATGTTAAACATTCTTCTAATAGAGGAATAAAGGAACCAACCTTCTCCATGGTTACAGAAAAGGAAGAAAAAAGCTATGTCTGTAACTACGTTTTGTAAAATGTTATCTTCTATTTAAAAATACAATTTTAAAGTATAACTTTAAGTCAGCCTTACCCATCAGTGTTGCTAGAAGACAGAGAGAATACATCTCCTTATCGACTTGCTCTTGCAGTTCCTTCGATGAGATTTTACTAGTCACAGCAACGTCTTCAGGCTTTACGGCATGGGCTGAGTGTGCTGAAGCAGACTGCCTGCCTTCCTCCTTACCTTTCAGGATTTCTATTGCTACCCTGTCACCATGCTGCAAAGGAACAGGCTCATTTTCCATGCCTTCTTTGGGAGGCAGAAGCTCTTTAGGAGGAAAACCATAGCGAATACATTGCAAATATGGAGGAATATTAAATTCTCTCGCTATGCTTTCCTGCAGTTCCAAGAAGGTCGTAGTGCACTTTAGGGTAAGCATTGACTGTCTCCCATCATTTGTGGTTATTCGAATTTTCTTTTCTTTTGTAGATGTTGGAGAATACGGGGTTTTTGTTGGTGTGGCAGGTGCAGATGATGGCCCCTCACGAACAGCCCCAGGAGAAGCAGTCCTAGGTTGCGCTTTATGCTCTTGTTTCAATTTTTCACTTTTCCGTTTTTGCATTACGGAAGCCTGGTCTGCAATGTTCTGCTGAATAGTTCTTTCAGCTTTGCTCATATTCAACTCCTCCTTGTGCAAAGTTTTTGTCTTCTGTCCAGTCAAAATAATTTTGGTTGGAAGTTGTGACTCTAACTCTTGTCCTCGCTGTACATCATCAGCTCTTTGGGCATGAGCACCATCGATACTTACAGGGGTATAATCATCAGGGTTCTTTTTGGCAGTTTGATGCAATATTGTGTTGACAACTTTCTGAACAAGAATCTCACTACCAAATTCACCAGGGAAGTGCTTGGTAACAAGTTTCATGGCAACATCATACACATTGCTGTTCAGAGATGTGTCACTTTCATACTGGAACCAGTAGACTGTCTCTCTCACCACTCTTCCACCCCACTCTAGAGTAATAGGAAAAGCTTCAGGGAGATTGTCATATTCTTTACCTTCCCAGTAGTGCTTGAATCCACAGCCACATTTGCCACCTGTAGACCTGGTATTAGTTCTGTCTCCATCCAAATACGAAACAGATCCATCTTCTCTGACACGACGCACTAAATTACCATGACACCAGTTACAAGCAGTCAAACTACTCAGGCTATAGTCTGGTACCAGCACGTCCTTTGCGGGGTTGTAAGAACACACCAAACTGTTCAAGGGAAAACTGTAATTTTTGTCAGGCCTTAGTTGGCCATGGGTACTTTTTGCCAGGTTATATAGTTTCCCCCCAGGAACCAGCCACTCTGGAGGAACGTGATGCTCTGAAAGGGCCCCACAGATGAGGCACCTGTGAAGGCGGTTGTCCATCACTGCTTTTTTGGCAGCTGCAGTGACCTCTTCAGGTTGGACTCCTATTACACCAGTCCTTCTGTAGAAATACTGATGTACATCAGCTACAAGACTGGGATGGATACCGTGTTTACTCATGAAAACCTCCTCCATTGCAGCAACAAGCCTCATCAAGTACTTATCTTGCAAACTTCTGTCTCCTCCAATAACACAACCACCGTCCTCCTCTAACTTGATGTACTTTTTGATGAGGTCTTGAGGAACTCCCCAGGCTTTAGGAAGCAGCTTCCTAGGCAGTTTAGGTAAAGCAGCACCTTTTATTCCAACTAGAGGAATATAATGGTTACGTCCTGAGCTACTCCATGCAATGCAGATTGGCTTATTCAACATGCCATCTTTTCCCATGCATTTTTCTAGGGGTATCAGACCAGGGAGGAATGTCGCTGAATAATCTCCAGAGCTTCGCATTCCACTCAAGGAGTCTAACAGGATGATAGGCCGGTGAAGCACGTTGGCCAGACCAAAGATGTGAATATTCCTAAGGCCCATTGGCACACCTTCTGGAGGAACAAACAAAGGGTCACATTCATTGATAATGTCCTCCCACTCTGCTGCATCAATAAAGTCATGGAAAAGTGCCTTGTAGTGACTCAGATTTTCCTCAAAATGCTTCTTCAGATTCTCTCGCAGAGCATGCCAGAACAGTTCCCTGCCAACAAGCGCTCGCGAGACTGCGTGGACAAGGCAGTGGCCATCTCCATCCACATGGACAGGAATGAGGCACTCCTGACTGTTGTTAGCCTTCTTGATGTCTTCCAGGGTGTCGTGCAGGTAGATGAGGCTGCCAGAGCGGTCCTTTCCATAACCAATGGTTTCAACGTGCTCTGGCTCAATGAGGAAGGCGCGGTCACCCAAGAGGGCGCAGTCAAAGATGTCTCCCTGGTTCATCTCTGTGAGGAGCTTGGCTTTGCCAGTTTGCTTATCCATACCGTAACGGGCCAGGATGGGGGCCAGGAGCTTGCAGTGGTAGTTGGAGAGGCCCATGACTTTGACGAGCTCGGTGTTCCTGCGGGGCGGGCCAGCACCGCTGACGCCCAGCAGCGCGTTTCGCAGCAGGTTGTGCAGCACCAGGTCGGGGTCCGTCA